ACGCTCCGTAACTAACTTACACACACATTGAGGAGTGTGTAAGAATAATTTGCCAAGCCGTCAGATTTGCGCTCAACTTTTCACTTTCGCCATTTTCGGTTTACCGCCCAATTCCACCTTCATACCCACCGTCTCTACTCACGTGTATTCAAACGTCACTCAGCCGGAAGTTGAAGTGTCATGCTGATATTTTATTTTTATGCCGCTTTCGTTTACATTTTTTATGTGAGTATTTATGTTTATGTGTATTTTTAGTGTTTCTTATTTTGTATGCAGTTGCTGTAGTTGTTGCTGATGTTTTGTTTACATACAATATTTTATTGAGTTGACTTAGGTCAGTTAGAGCAAATGACAGCTCAAAGTCGAGGTCAACATTTTATGATGACTGTGAATCGATTTTTACCGTAATTTGTAAATTTGTGGTCTAATTTAATATGCGTGGTAATATTCATGTTTCTTGGCACTTTTTGTTGAGGAACGAAAATATGTGTGTGATTTAGAATTTGTTTAAAGTTCGAAGACTTCGAAAAACGTAAGATATAAATAATAATGTTTGCCAACATCTATAGATATGCAGTCCGCAAAAATCGGTTGGATCTATATAACAATATTTCGTAGCGTATTTCGAAGTGGATTTAAGACAAACAACTTTGTAGAAGGTATTTCTTATTGGTCCGGGATTTAAATTTATATTGGGTCTTTAACAAAAGTCATTTTTATTTTCAAAATATATACGTTTATTTAAGAAAAACATGTACAATAGTATCATTATGTATCATATCAATATTACCCATCTCCTCCAAGAACTATGCCGGCGTGACGGCTAAGAATGAAGCAAGACAATTTTTGATACCCAGTTCTGATGTGAACCGTATTCCAGAGATCGGAACAAATGGTAGACATAAGGGCAAAGTCTGGGCTGTAAGGCGGATGAGTTCAAAATTCCCAGCCACTGTTTTCCAAAAAGTTTTTAACCAGTCACTTTTAACAGGGATGAGTTCAAATTCCAGACACTGTTTTCAAAAGTTTTACCGTGCTTCAACTTGAGCGAGCATTGTCATGAAGAAAATTATGCCTCGTTGGTCGCAAATTCTGGGCATTTTCGGCGATCGCTCCTTTACTTTGATCAGTTTGTGTTTCCCATTAATGGTTTCACCTGGAGCGTAATAATACAGCACGCCGTTTTGATCCCACCAAATATAGACCTTGGCGTGATGGATATTCGCTATGTCGCTGATATGGCTGGTCGGCCCAATTTCCCATATGATTTTATACTCTCGCAACCTGTTGCTACAGAGTATATGGTTTTTTCACCTAACTTGTTTGTATCACCTAAAACTAATCAGTTAGATATAGGTTATATATATTATGATCAGGATAGAGACGAGTTGAAATCCGGGTGATTCTCTCCGTCCGTCCGTCTGTCCGTCCGTCTGTCCATCTATCCGTCCGTCAAAGCTCTAACAGAGTAAATGAGATATCTTTATGAAACTTGGTAGACATGTTCCATGGTACCGTGAGACGTTGGTATTGCAGATGGTAATCGGACCACTCCACGCCAACGCCATTAATCAAAAAAATAACTTCCATAACTAAGCTCCGCAATAAGATACAGACTGTTATTTGAGTACACAGGATCACATTAGGGAAGACCATCTGCGATTAAAATTTTTAAAAAGTGGGCTGCCCGCCTCTAATAGTTTAATGACTATCTCTAAACCGCTAATGCTATAACAACAAAATTCACTGGAAGCAAATATTTTAGCACTTCTATTGACGGTGTGAAAATAGTTGGAAATCAGGTGCAATGACTCCCCATATAACGGTACTGTTAAAAACTATACTAAAGCGCGATAAATCAAGCACTAAACACGCCAGAGTCATTAATTTATCTCTGGGATGGTATGAGATGACTTTATAGAACCGCGTTCAAATTAGACAGTGGGTGGCACAGCCCACTTGTGAAAACCATATCTTGAGATCTGCTAACCGATTTCACAAATTCAATACGGTTGTTCTTTCATGTTTCTATGTCACAGTGAAATCGGACTACAACCACGCCTACTTTCCATATAACACCATTTTAAATTCCATCTGATTATTTCACTTTCCACTATGCAAATCAGAACAATGACTGTATCGGGATAAAACTTTGCGTGAATAATGCGATTAAAGTATGCCACCTTGTGAAAAATTGTCTAAATCGAACCAAAACTGTTTAAGCCCTAAGTACTAAATATGGACCCCAGTGCCTATAGTTGACCTTCTAAGAAAATATCAGCCAATCCACAAGAAATCTCAACGAGTATACTATTTGACTTTGCGAGAGTATAAAATGTTCGGATTTTATCCGAACTTGCCCTTCCTTTTGTTTGAATTTAGGTTGTTGTAATGGATCTTCAGTCACAATTCAGCAAAATGACTTATTTTGACACTTGCATGAAAATAATCTATCACATTTCTTGGCTTCAATTCTATGTCATCCAACCTTGCCTGAATGCCGAGCTGCAGTAATTAGACTGGATAACTTCTTTACATTCATAATCTTCAACGAGTAATGCTTTGTTCCATTTTCAAACTTTTGGTCGCTCAAGGCGTTTTTCGTTTCTATGTCAAAATCGGCACTTTTAAATTGTGTAAACTACTTTTGCACGATGAACAAAATGATTGCACATATTTCTATCTCATAACTGAATGAAAAATAATTCTATCTAACATCTCAGAATCTCTGATAAATAATATGTGAGTTTTTAGTTTATCCATATCGAAGTGTGGTATGAGCCATATAGGTCAGTTGGTTAAGCAACAATGAACTAAATTTTCGTTCGTCTATAAGTATTCTTGTTTACCACTGGTGCCTTGCTTCACCTCTTTCTCAAGTATCTATCGGTTTTGATATTATGTACTCACCCAATGTGACAAAGTGAACGTAAATGTCTCATGAAGTCAATCATCTATTGGCTTCATTTTATCTAATTCCGTGGCGTCCTCAAAAGCAAGACAGTATTTCTTGTTATCAGCAGAGAGAGGTAGTCAAAATTACTTGATAAGCTCTTAAGAGTCGAACACAAGCAGTTAAGATACCCTAGACTCTTTACCGAGTTTAATTGACAGGGCAGTTCCTGCAGGGCGATTTGCGTAAACGGAACGGACTTTGGTTTTTTGTTAATACTATCAACTCGACATTATTCCAAAACTCATTTGTTCAACTTTTCTGCTAACTCAAGAACAACATTGAATCGGTTATGCATAATTTATAATGACCTTAACATCAGTGAAATTATAACACAATGGGAATATGTATGGTAGATCGAAACATATCTCCGGTGGGTAGATTTTTCAATTTCGAATGGCCCAAGTAGCTTCGAAAAGCTTTTCGAGAATATAAGGATAATTGATAACTGCCTTTCTTTCGGGTTTCCTCATGTATCTGTCTTTATAGTCAATTTTCTATCGCCAGCTTTGATATTTTAATAATGCAATAGCTATCAAATTCTGTTGAATTTGATTCGTTATTACTGATTTCATGGTCGCACGAAAATGTTCTAATCATCCCAAAATACTTCCTTATGGCATATCAGATGTGCGATTAAATGTTTTCGAGAAAGTTCTTCTAACGCTACTGATATTTTAATCACAAAGCACTACCTATGATTTATAGCAATTAGGGCGGATTCCATCATATATAATTTGGGAAAATTAAGCAAGTTTCGTCCCAGAACTCTCAGAGAAGAACAGGATAGATGATTTTTATTTGAAAACTGTTTTGGGATACAAGTAAACATATAAATAGTTTAATCTGCTTTAAAACTTGGTCAGCTATATAACAAGTCTACAATTTGTGATATTATTTTTGTTGCCAGTTTTGAAGAACCATCAATAAATACTCCAAATGCAAGAGACATATATAAATGGTTCTCAAAGGTGGAATTAATGAATTTTAATATATAGACCGATTCACGATAATGTACCCATCAGACTGAAAACGAGACCTTTGGGTAAAAGTGGACTGCCGGTCAGCGGTATTCTGGTGTAAAAATATGTATGACCGTTTCTTATTCATTATTCCTATCACTTATTCGAGCAAATGACTAAAACCGTATACGCAATTGCGATTTAGTTTGATCAGCGTTTGCAAGAAAATGAATACTATCAATTAGTTATGGCGTAAAATAATAATTAAATATTAATAATAAGTCCTTATACAATTTAATCAGTAGTACATATATACTTATATATAGTAAGTGAGTACTTTGTGGCGCTACAAGTGTTTTCGAATTTTAAGGTCAGTGAAAAGTTGAAGTGCCCGACAGCAGCTGTTGTATTGCAATTATTAGCGATAACATATGTTTTAGCAGCAAATAAAATAAATAATAAAAATTTCTTTACTCTGCTGATATATACAATAAAAGTAATATTACAATAAGTGATTAAATTATATTACGTTATTGTTTATTAATTTTTAATTTTTGGTTATATAACATATACTTTTACGTATATTTTCCATTGACAGGTCTTCGTTGCTTGGATTTTGTGTTTGGATCTCCATTTTGGTGGATCAGCTCTTTCTTAGATTCGAAAAAACTGTGACAAGGATAGCATGGTAAGATCTTAGGATATCATTTCCTATGTGTTTACCATATCGTTAATTATATAATATATGTATGTATCGTATGTTGGAGGGAAATTATAAACTTTAATATTGGTGTATTTTCAAAAGTTTTAAATTTCCGTAAACAATATAGCGTGTAGGACTTAATAGTATTCAGGTTTCCATAAATATGCATGCGGGATCAGTCTGAACTAAAAACGACTGAAAACAATAAAATCTTTTCATCTGAATCAAAAGAAATTTATCTTGATTATTATTGGTTGGTTTGAATAAAAGCTATTTGCTATAAGGGTCTGATATCAGCAGTTCCGACAAATGGCAGCTTCTTGGGGAGTAAGTTACGTATGTAAAATTTCGGATCGATACATAAAAAATAAAAACGCACATATCTAAATCGACTTAGCTCATCACGCGACAGTATTTTTTTTATTAGTGCAAAATCTGATTCCAAACAATTTACAGACTACTACTGATTACGTTACGTATTACGGATTGTAACCCTTTAACATTAACTAAATTCCAAAATGTTTAAAGAGAAAAAAAATTGAAAGAAATATGTTTTTACATGCTCTATTATTAGGAATCCACACAACTTCCTATATTTGAATTCAACTTATATATTTGGTTATAACTTATTACCATAACTAATCTTCATACATATGTATCTATTTATATAAATATTTGCGTCACGTTTAAATATAAAATATATAAATCTTCACTCGTTCCTCTCCTCGAATTTAAATTTCAATGGAATACCTGGCATGCTTACCAGTTTCGGTATGAAAGCATTTTCTGTTGAATAATTAAATTCAATCACAAAATTACGCATCAAACGCGCCAAAGTGATCTCTAATTCCAAGTCTACAATACGCTTGCCCACACAGCTACGTGGACCAAAACCGAAAGGTAGAAACACGAACGGGTTGTCGATGTGATATTTCTTACCTTCGGTGTCATTGCGCAACCAACGTTCCGGTATGAATTTATTTGGCTCCTTTACGAATTCTTCATTACGCAATAATAAGTTCGAGCTGACCATGATATCGATACCAGCAGGAATACGATAACCGCTCAATACGACATCATGGGGTAAGCTACGCAATGTACCCAAAATTATGGGGTAATAGCGCATACCTTCCTTAATGCAGGCGCGCAGATAGGGAAGATTTTGCATATTCTCTATAGTCAAACGTGATTCTTTATTTGGCAAAATTTTCTTCAGTTCCTCGAACAATTTCCGTTGTTTGTCCGGATTTTTGGCTATGCAAAATAATATGCCGGTTAAGGTGGAACTTGTCTGTGATAAAAATGCAGGAAATTATTTTCTTAGCCAGAGTATTGCACCAAGGTGTACTTACTGTATCAACACCAGCCATCATCATATCTAGGGCCATAACAGCGGCAATGCGACGATCAATACGCAAAAGCTTCTCTAAAACACTCTTTTCTTTGCCCACCTCAGAGGTAAATTTACCATCACTGTCCATCTCAATTTGTTTTAGCGCCTCATCTATATATTTGTTGCACAAATCTGCGAGTAAGTCCAAAGTTTTCATTAATTTGTAGAATTTCGGTGTTTTTACAATTTTCCAAATTGATGGTTTCACTTCTAAATCTTCCGAGAGGTCAAAAAAGTCCCGAATGGATTGCAACAGTTGTTTACATTCTGGAGAATCTCGATTCTTATGTATCATACCCAAACGGGTGTTTAATGCCACACCGACGATGCCTTCAAGTGTTAGACGATTAAGATCGTCATGAAAATCATCGGGCATTTCGTTTGTTATTGGATCGCGTATGTGGCGGATTCTGTAAAAATGTTCATTAAAAGTAATATGTAAAACTGAAACCCTATTAATTCTTGCATATTGATACAACCTTTCTAAAAATTCATCATTGATCTCAAGTATTGTGTTTAGATATAATCGCGCATTCCTAGGTTGCATTAAAACTGGGTTAACCGCAGTGCGCATTTTCGCCCAAACTTCGCCAGATCTGCAATGAACATATGCACGATTAATATTTGATTGTTGTTTTTCAAGAGATTTTAATTACGTCGTGATAAGTCCGTTTATGCCTTGAAAAATATCGCCCCGATGCACTTGCCGATGATATGCAAACGAGTCGAGTGGGCGTCGATCGGGCCATACACCCTCATTGCGAAATATTATAGGATAGTCGGCTGGATTGAGTGCAAGTACCATTTCGGGTTTGCCAAATAAAGCGGGGAAATGAAACAGTCTTCCATATTTTTCTGAGAGTTGTGCTACTGCCTCCGTAAAAGTTTTTTTGTAAAACTCCCCTGAAGATTTGTATTATATAAAATCTTTATAAGAGCAAGTCAAGGAAATTTTCAGTTTGTACGCAATCTGAAGCAATCCTTATAAACTGGTCGTTAAAGATAAACTTTAACACAGTAGGAAGGTGCTTTGAAAATTATCCAGGTACACGAAATTTATTGTTCCAAAAATTTTTATATTATTTCAACTAAGTATAATAGTTTTGTTTACCTAACGGTTGTTTGTATCACCTAAAACTTATTGAAATGGAGTTAAATATATATAAATGATCAAGATGACGAGACGAGTTGAAATCCGTGTGACCGTTTGTACGGACAAGAGGTAACTTGAGTAAAAATTGAGAAAAAATATGATGAATATCATATCATGAAACAAGCTGCATATGTTCCTTGACACCCAAAGGAATTCGGTATTGCAGGTGGGTGTAATCGGATTACTGCCCCGCCCACAAAACGCCATTAAATGAAAACCTATGAAGAGTACTTTCAAGCGCATTAATAAGACTGTTTGGTTGTAATAATTGTTTAAATGTGTACGTGATCCCGCATCTAAATGGTTTCATATAGGTAGGGTGGCTGTGTAATGACGCACGTAAGCCTATATGAGGTCCACTGTAATACCAACGTAATTAAAGTTCCCTCACTCTTTTGGCTCCAAATGAAGTTCATCAGTACGAAAAGTATTATCAATACAACCTGCGACACGTCCTCAATAAACTCTCGGCCGGTAGTTGCTATTCTTTCCCTATTGAGCCTTAAGCTCGCGTATAATACTTTTAATAGTATTCTCCTTTTCCACCTCCTGACAGACAAACCTTACCTGGTTTATAGTAAAATAGGATGTTAGATCCACTAAGAGATCAAGGCAGATAACAATCACGCCTACTTCCCATCTAACAAAAAAAATAAAACATCAGTGAAGTCATCAGAAAAAAAACTTTGTAAATAATAAATTGGTAATAGTGTCCTCAAGGTATTTGATCTTACGCACGAAAATTTTCGAAATCGGACTATAACTTTTCACCCAGAGCTCAAATCATATGCTAAGTGGAGTATTATTCTTTGTAAAAGGTATTTTTTAAGGGTATAGAATTAGTATGTTAACTAAATTACACAAAAAGGTAATAAAATCTCAATATTTTGGATTTCTTACTAAATTTTGTGTCACTTTTTCCAGTATGCCCGGAAAAATATTGACAAAAGCGAATATGCACTTTTCATTGTTTCATTGTTTTTGGTCATTGACGTGTTATTTCAAAAACTAGTTTAACAGATTAAATCACCAAAAGTTTGTTCTAAAAAAGTGATGGCTTATTATTTTGTATGGTTTGCTGTATCCTATAGTTGAAACCCTTTTTATCATAAATGTCAAACAAATAAGTTTATTTAGACAGTTTATAAAAAAATCCACATCTTCCTAAAAACACATCTATACATTGTTTAACACAATACTATATCCTGATTACTATATACAATTATATTTCGAAACATAAATTATTTTTATTTACCTCCCAACATAAATCCACGAACAATTTCATATTTACTTGGTCCGGGTAACTCTTTAAATGGGCGCGCATTTTCCAAGTTAGTCGTTGTCGATACTGTATCACTGAACTGGAATTTAAAATTTGTTTTGTTTTAAGTATACCTATGTTATGATTTTATTAGTTTGATCATTAAATTGTATCTCCTCCATAACCAAAAGCGGTTGCACTTTATTTCTGTTCCTCGCTGACAACCGTTTTCAGTCTCTCTATTCATAGCAGAGTTAACATAAAACTTTACATTATTTTAGCACTTGTGATTAGCTTTGTGATACAATAGAACAAATACATGAATTATTTAATATTTAGATTATTATTATTATTTAAATCATCTTTTATTTGTGTACTTATTATTAAGCAAAGATTATAGACTAAAATGTGACCTGCTGTTGTGGTAATGCTGTCGCATATTTTCTCAAAAATGTTGCACCCAACGAATGTCCAAAAGCTTCATTATATTGTATTAAACAACGAGATAACATTTTAGTAAGAAGAAGAACGCTTTGTAATGAACTTATTTTATTTTATAATTATATTATCAAAACACCAAGCCAACTACCGGTATATACTATTTGGAAAGTATAAAAAGCAAACTTAACATCACCGCGTTTGAAAACTAACTAAACAGCTATGCATAAATATACGCTTGTAAATTGCTTGTTAGTTGTTATTTATTATTATCAGCATAACGCAAAAAATCGGCGTCACAGCTTATTAAGGTGTAGCAAATAGCTGTATATACATGTAGTGCAATCTTAAGTGAATATTTAGTGAGCACTCTTGTGAAAGCTCATGCTTTGCCGTATGTGCGACTGTCCCACTAGTGGATCGGTTGTTGTGCATTATTTGGTTTGATTAGTTCTACTGGACTTTCTCAGAAAAAAGCTCTACATTTTGTACAACTATTACTTGAATCAGTAGCAGGAATTAAAAATATCTAAAACTATTGCATACAGACTGGTTTTAAGCCTACAGTAGTTTTTACTGTTAGTACTGAATTAACCTAACATATACTGTAGGTCACGTGTCACCTTGGCTTGATTAAATTTCACACTTAAGAACCGCAATATCTACTTTTAAGTGAATCTTAACCTAAATAAGTTAGCACATTCATCATTTTACCGCTGTCGAAAAATTCAAATTTGATTTAAATATCTCAGAAAATGTTTCAGAACAATATATTGGGAGGTTGTACCGTTGCCTTTGACAATAGATCGTGCCACATCAGCTACATCCTACGGTGGTCCGATATTGGCAATTCCGATAAGTAAGCAGCTTATTAGGAATGAATGGACATGTGCAAAATTTCGGATTGATATCTCAAAAACTGAGCGACTCATTCGCGTATATGCAGACTTATGCATTGTAAGAGGTCTCTAACGTTTCCTTCCCAACTTCGTCGGGTTATAAAGATATCGAAACTATTTATGAAATTGAAATAATAACCAGTTTGTATGTAATATATAAAGTGGTCTCTGAGTACTAGTGATTCGATTATTTTTAGGTAATACAGCGCTGTGCCAGGGGTTAAAGCACTGATATCGCAGTTTCAATATTTCCGGTCACTTTATAAAAATTTCTAATATAAAATCAATTAATACAAATATGAAATTTTAAAAAAAGCAAATGTTTGTACAAATTAATTTATATTTATATAAATATAATTATTATATATATATAATTAATTTATAATCTTATCTTTCACTAAACTGATAGACGTCAAAGTTCTCTTTGTTATCAGTGCATTTGTGCACTGCATGAATTCAAATAAATACATATCTATGCATACGTAGATACTAGGGAAATGGAAAAGCTTCGAGCCACAAGAATTGAATAAAAATGCGTTGCAGTTAGACCTGACCTTTAATAGCTAACTGATTCGTGATGTATAATCTTTTGAGTGACGAAGCTTTAATATCTTGAAAACAAAAAGTAGAAAAGAAGAGATTCCTGTGCTAATGAAATATATTTTGAGCAGAAAAAATTAACAAAAAACACTGAGACCAAAAACGATGAACGAACTAGAAGTCCAAATAGGAACGTGGTAAACGAATATATTAAAAAAATCGCTAAATGATTTTTGAACGACCTGAAAATAAAGTTGATCGATATAGCTAACATTCTAAAGTATCAAAAAAATTAGTCGCTCGACTTTTTTCGGTTTTTAGATATGATCCTTATACATACAATAGTTTTTTCAACAACGCACAAAAGTAGTGTTTTTTTTTTAATAAAAGGAAGTAGACAGAATAGTTCTAGGAATGCTGTAAGTGCATATTAACTACAACAAATTGCTCATAATTGAAAGATCGTCTAACGAAAACAAGTCTACAAAGGTTAAGGAGTGTGCAAAGCTTGAAATGGAACGTACATTTGGTACCATTCGAACTTAAATGCAACTGCGGTCATTTCCAAAGATGGAGATTACACTAGTATTACTCTTCCCAAGGTTTCTCTCAATGTGAACGTGAACTAACATCACTTATTGAATCAATCCGCCAAAAAGTTTTGATATCAGATTTAAGAGATAAATGGGGATAATATTATTCTGCATAAGTGAGGTTTCCTAAATCTAAAAAAAAATTTAAAGCAAACACTGGACTAAATATATAGGAGACTAACGCGAGATTGAGTTAGGAACAAAAATATGCTTGTCATCTAAAATATATATAGGTATATATTGTATACGTATGTATCGAAAGTCTTCTCCTTTCTTATATCCACTTAATATATTTAATTCTCTCATTTTCAAATGTTGATATATATGTATTTGATTTACTCTACGATCTATTTATGCACTTTTAACTGTACTATAAATGTAGTTACAATTAAATTTTATTGGTATACATATTCTACATATTGAGCCTTAATTATCTTTGCTTATACTTACAAACATATTCTACTCATAGAAACTTATAAGCAAAACGTTTCATAAAACGATTTTAAAAATTACTTTACTTTACTTTTATTTATTCGTTTAAATTAATCATCCGATCTTCACTCCTTTCTTTCTTCGAATCTGAACTTCAGTGGTATAGTTGGTATGAAAATGAGCTTCTGTGTAAAAGCATTTTCCGTTGAATAATTAAACTCAATCAAGAAATTGCGCACCAAACACGCCAAAGTTACCTCCAATTCTAGGTCCACAATTCGTTTACCCACACAACTGCGTGGACCGAATCCGAAGGGAAGAAACACAAATGCGTTATTGAGTTGATATTTTTTACCCTCGATGTCATTCCGCAGCCAACGCTCTGGTATATATTTATTTGGCTCTACTACAAATTTCTCATTGCGTAACAGCAAATTGGAACTAACCGAAACATCAGTACCGGCCGGAATGCGATATCCGCTCAGCACAACATCGTTGGGCAGCTGACGAATTGTGCCAGCAAGACTGGGATGATAGCGCATGCCTTCCTTAATACAAGCGCGTAGATATGGAAGATTTTGCATATTCTCTACAGTCAAATGGGAGTCCTTATTTGGCAAAATGCTTTTTAGTTCCTTCAATAGTTTCTGTTGTTTGTCCGGATTTTTAGCAATGCAAAATAAAATGCCCGTTAAGGTGGAGCTTGTCTGTGATAAATACAAACGTATATTTGAAATATTTTCTTAGCCACCTGATTGAGTTATGAGGAACTTACTGTATCGACGCCAGCCATCATCATATCCAAAGCCATAACCACTGCGATTTTGCGATCAATGCGTAGTAGTTTCTCTAAAACACTTTTTTCCTTGCCCATTTCTGAGGTGAATTTTCCCTCACTATCCAAATCGATTCTTATTAGCGCTTTATCAATATATTTGTTGCATAGTACTATAAGCATGTCCAATGTTTTCATCAGTTGATAAAACTTCGGTGTTTTGATTATCTTCCAAATGGGTATGTTGACTTCTACTTCTTCCGACAATGCGAAAAAATTACGAATTTCTTTTAACAGTGTTTTACTTTCCAGACTATCGCGACTTTTATGTATTATTCCTAAACGAGTGTTTAGTGCAATGCTCACAACGCCTTCCAAAGTGAGGCGATTAATATCGTCATGAAAGTCATCGGGAACTTCGAGTGTTAAAGGATCGCGTATATGACGTATTCTTAAACGAATTTATGAGATGAATATTTTCCTTAACTTTATAATAACTTATTGCATCAACCTTTCGAGAAATTCATCGTTAACTTCCAATAACGTGTTTAAGTAGAGTCTGGCATTTTTGGGTTGCATTAGAACCGGATTAACGGCGGTACGTATTTTTGCCCATTCTTCGCCAGTTCTAAAAATGTATTTAGAAATCATTTAGATGTGCGATGGATTTTTATTTACAATACAATAAATTTACGTTGTCAATAGTCCACCCATGCCTCGAAAGAAATCTTCTCTATGCACCCTACGATGATAAATTAAGGTTTCGAAAGTACGGCGTTCTGGCCAAATACCCTCGTTTCGAAATATTATTGGATAATCATTTGGATTAAAATTCATTACCGTTTCTGGTCTCCCAAACATGGAAGGAAATCGATAGATGTCGCCATATATTCGTTTCATTGTTGTAATTACTTCAATAAATGTGGTTTTCTTATAGAACACACCTGAAATTGATATTAAATAGATATTTCAATATATACAAAATTGAGAAGAAAACGTAATGAACAACCATGAGCTTAAGAATATATCGAATAGGCTTTTTTCATATTCATACACATACATTTCATATAAATACACTTTCCTACCTCCGGGTAAAGATCCACGAATTATTTCATATATGCTTGGCCCAGGTAGCTCTGAATATGGACGCGCATTTTCCCAATTATTCGAAGTAGAAGCTCCTTCATTTTCCTTTAAATTAAAAGCAATTATATGAAAAATATGTAAACTTGTTTAAGGTCAATTATAAAGTGTTGTTATTGAGGAATATATTTCTATAGAAAAATCTTTCAAATGTATTTGATATGGATTTCAAAAAACTTATGATATGAGGTTGTTTTGTTAGAAACTAGACTTCTTTTTGAGTCATAAAAATAGAGCCCATCAACTGGTTTAAAGGTACTCAACCTTTTATCATTGAATCATGATTTTATCTTACTGTCAAATTATGTGCAGCAATGAGGGGCATTTCTGCGATAGTACATGCATAAATAAACAAAATTGTTGTATTTAAGGTGTAAACAACTTTTAATGCACTCTCCAGTTTTTCTAGTTTCCAAAAAATATTACTATTTGATGTGGTTTACATATCTGAGGCTTAATTGGTTTTGTGACTTGACTCCGTCAGATCACTTCTGGTCGTGATAGCATAGACCCATGATAAAACAGTTACATCATCATTCTGGGACAAGTGGTCTAAAGTTTGTTTTTGTAATATACCGTCACGGTGATTATATGCCCAAAATTTATTATCAAACTCTAAGTGCCGTAAAATTTTGTTAATTACAGTGATTTTTCTATGCTTGAGTTGAATTAAAAGTTCTATAACCATAAAAACTTCATTGATAAACCTTTAATAGCAATAAAATAATAATCATAATTTACCTGAGCTTGCTCCACAGCTGTTGTATATCCCCTAAAAGTCGTTGAACTGAACAAACGCCCAACTATTGTATTGCATTTAGTTAGATAGCGCGATAACATTTTGAGTGTTTTGTTGTTATTAATTAAACTAAAAATGTTTATTATGCGAGATGCATTAAAAATACCTGAAAACTTGTTTGCAGAGAGAAATGCTACTGATCACTAACGCGTTTCGGCGATTCACTATTTCGTAGTGAAAATATTTTAATCAGCCTAAAAATGTAGTATGCCCTGTGTTATGCCTTGCATTATGAAAGCTCTAATCAGAGCTTTTTATTATTAATAACATTTTTATAATATAAAATTGAATTCCACTATACTGCATTGCTTGAAACTATTCCTATTAAGAAGCGCAACATGTTGTTACAGAGTATAATAGTTTTGTTCACCTAACGTCTGTTTGTATCACCAAAAACTAATCGAGATAAATATCGAGTTATATACATACATATATAAATGATCAGGATTACAAGACGAGTTGAAATCCAGATGTCTGTCCGTCTGTCTGTTTGTTCATGCAAACTGTAACTTGAGTAAAAATGGAGCATAAAACGCCATTAAATTAAAAACCTATACAGTGCTATCACTAAGCACTAAATAAAGGTACTAAACTTAATTTAGTACAGGGAATCGCAATAGCAAAGGGGCACTTGCGGGTTGAAATTTAAAAAATCGTCGTTACCAACCATTGTTACCTACATACTTGTAGTAAAAATGGGTAAAATCCGTTAAAAATTTCTAAAAGCGCGATAAATCAATATATGATATAAATACGGCAGAAACATAAAATTTTACACCCGAGATAACAGAAGAGGGCATTATAGGAGCCGGGGTCCAAATAAGATGATGGCTGTGGCACACCGCATATTTATCTGAAAACCCATATCTCATAACCTATTCGACCGATATCGACCAAGTTTGACATTTCTGGGTCCCAGTGCGAAAATGGGCGAAATCAGATTACAACCCCGCCTACTTTCCATATAACACAATTTTAAATTCCATCTGATTCTTCCCCTTTCCAGCATGCAAATCAAGCACCAAGGAATGTATCGTGATAAAATTTCGACTAAACAGTTCGCTTAAAGGAGGCCTTCTTATGACTAAAAATTGTCAAAATAGGGCTACAACTGTTCAAGCCCCCAGATACCGAATATTAGTCCCCCCAGTTCTTACGGGGAACATTTTATTGAAAATGTCGTTCAATCTATGAGATATGATATTGATTCGTTTCAAATTAATTCGTTTCAATCCTTTCCTGATAACAGTATGCTGTATGTCAAAAATGGGTTCAATCGGATGAAGTTCTCTTAGCGAATTTTAGATTTTCGAACTTACGGTTTACTTTATACCGCATATATCGGCCAATATGTGGGTTATCTAAGTGAAAACAAGAGAGCGTGTTTTACTAATAACAATGTATCTTTGTGCCTAAAATAGTTAAAATCCGGCTGACTTTAGTTCATATACCATTTATTGAGTTGGTAAGTGTGCCTTAATGAAACCGAGGGAGCGTATTGTTAGTCCGTGACATGTTAATAGTATGTGGAATTGCCAAAAATAGATAAAATCGGGTCAATATTCAAACTGCTAGTTGGCCTTATACCACATATACGAATTACAACCACTCCAATCTACTACATATAATAATTTTCGTTTTTCTAACAAGGCTTATGACGATTATGTCATTCAGTCATTTATAAAATCGCTTGAAAATATGTGCTCAAGTATACCTGAGCAATGCCCAAATTAATGGAATCAGCATGTCTCTTTCTCGGCCCCCAGTATAACATATCAAATGATTTCCGACTTTCCTGACTTTAAACCGTACAGGTTGGTCAAAACGTATGATATTTTAGTGAAATTAAATGGACAAGTTTCCCTGAAAGTTATGTGGTTTACCACTGAATATGTATGGAATTGGTGTATACCTTGGTATAAATCTCATATGCCTAACAGAGAATTTCGTGTCTCTGGTTGACATTTTCCACATCAATTCAATATGCAAAATGTGTGTATTACCTAAAATATAACTTAATAAAATACAAAATTTGATTGTAATCCAATTAATGTTGAATTCTTTCGCAATTTTTTAAAATAAAGTTTTGCCAACATCTGAAAGTATTTTCCCGGCTTTGATCCTTGTAAGTTGCAAGCGTATGAAATGTACGGTTACACCCGAAAGATTGGTTTTACTAATAAATTACTAACTTTGCTTTATTACTTTAGTTTGCAAAGTTTCTTTAGTAAATATTTCCATATTCATATTTGTATATAATATATGTACTTTAATACATGTTTTCATTAATTCGTGCCAGTTAGGAAGGCGCTCAAATCTAGAAAATTGCAAAAAATCTTAATTAATTTTTTCATATTTCGATATTATTCAAAAATAGCTCCCTAAAAGGAGGAGGAGAAGGAAGATCATAAAAGTAAATTGGTGAAATAGTATACCATTTTTTGATGGACCGACATTTTATGAATTTTTTCAGTCTTTTGGTTCATAAGATATCGACATTTTTACTATCAAGAATCCGGCATTGTTTTGGTTTTCAAATGACTACAAGGGCAGAAATCCTGACCGAGAGGAAGCGGATTCTCCTTTTACGAATTGTAAAAAATTTATACTAAAAATATCAATTCCTTTTGTGTATTCCCTGCATATTGTGACAATCAAATATTTTCGGGAGCCAGTTTGTTGGACTCGATCAATTTGGTATTTATTTATTCCATTATAGTTTGATTGTATTTAAAAAATATATTTTTATTGATATTATATTTATATCAAAATTTCGATGAATACAAAAATATTTTTATACTTGATATAACTGTTAATATCTGTTCGAAAATAAGTATACTTTTTTTTAATATTTGTTAAGTAATTTTCTTTTCAGGGCTTAATGTGTTTTATAAACATATTACTACACTACAAGACTACGCTCCTCTCTCGATAAATTTGAATTTAAGCGGTATTTGCGGCACGCTCATAAACTTCATAGCGAATGCATTCTCGGCCGGGTAGTTAAATTCAATTTTGAAATTTCGCACCAAACGTGCCAAAGTGATTTCTAGTTCCAAATTAACGATACGCTTGCCCACACAACTGCGTGGACCAAAGCCGAAGGGTACATACAAAAATGGATTAGTAATTTGTCCCTCCAAAGCTTGGGCGGATTGATCGTTACGCAGCCAACGCTCCGGTATGAATTTATCCGGCTGCGGCACATAACGTTCATCATGCATCAAAAGATTGGCGCCGATGGAGATGTCGGTACCGGCAGGTATACGATAGCCGCTCAGTACCACATCTTTGGGCAAACGACGCACCGTACCCGGTATGATGGGATAGCAGCGTATGCCCTCTTTGATGCAGGCACGCAGGTAAGGCAGATTTTGCATATTTTCATTTGTCAGTTGCGATTCCTTTACTGGCAATATTGTCTGAATTTCTTCAAATAGCTTTTTTTGTTTATCCGGGTTCTTTGCAATGCATAGCAATATGCCGGTCAAAGTAGAGCTGGTCTGTGGGCGCAGAAAGTATTATTAAATTTATACGAAACCCTCTCACAATTAAGAGCGCTTACTTACCGTATCAATGCCAGCTAACATCATATCCAGTGCCATTACCACGGCGAATTTCTTATTAATGCGCACTAATTTCTCCAGTACACTCTTCTCCTTGCCCAGCTCCGATGTGAGGTTGCCATCGCTGTCGTGTTCAATACGCTTTAGCGCTTCGTTAATGTACTTATTGCAGATGTCCGTCATCGTGTCCATGGTCTTCATCATTTTATAGAATTTCGGAGTTTTCACATACTTCCATATGGAAGGTTTAATCTCTAGCTCTTCGGAGAGTACAAAGAAATTCCGTACGCACTTCATGATCGTTTCACTCTCGGCCGCATCCCGATTTTTTTGTATCAAACCGAGTCTTGTATTTAGTGCAATGCCTGCGATGCCCTCAAAAGCGAGGCGATTAATATCATCAAGGAAATTGCCGGGCACTTCCAATGTACTGGGATCGCGTATGTACCGTATTCTAGCAGCAGAGCGTAATTTAGTTTCATGAGAATTTTCAATTCGTATACTTATTCGACTTACCTTTCTAAGAACTCATTATTAATCTCCAATAGCGTATTCAAGTACAGTTTGGCATTTTTCGGTTGCATCAATATTGGATTTACAGCCGTACGCATTTTCGCCCATTTCTCGCCAGAGCTGTTTTAAAATATTGAAAAAATATACGAAATATAATATGTATGAGTATGTGATACTCACGTGGATATAATACCCTCGACGCCCTGAAACAATTCGGGCCGATGTTTTTCACGATGGTAGACGGTTGTTTCGAAAACTCGGCGATCAGGCCATGACCCTTCATTACGAAAAATAATCGAATAATCCGTGGGGTTTAAATCGATTACAAATTCGGGCTTGTCAAATATGCCGGGAAAGCGAAAAAGCTGTCCATATGTCTTTTCCATTTCCCGAATGGCAGTAAAAAATGGTTTTTTGGAAAATAAACCTGAAATAAAATGATGAAGTACCATATCAGAAGTAATCTATGTCCCTTGATATTTTTGCAAGTTAATGCTTGAGTTAATTATTCTTGTGTCAAATAAACTTATTTATAATTGAGTTATATGGAAAGTAGGCGTAGTTGTGGTATGCCACCTAATGATGTAAAGTTGTCAAAATGAGATCAAGATGTTGGGTAACTACTTCCTTTTACTGCCCCACAGACCTAACATAATAATTTCAAACTTCCGGTTGGCTTTACAGTGTATATATCAGTTAATGTGTAAGATATCTTAACGAAATTAGGTGACCGATGTGGATAACTGATAGTAATGATTTTCGTTTTGCTTGCAGACTGTGGTGTTAAATCGCACGACTTTTTCCTTGTTTTGGTAATAATAATAAATTTGCACAATTTTCAAACGTTGTTCCAAGGTAAGTCTGTTTGTTATGAAATGGCAAACAAAATTTAGTATGAATCAATAACAGCTGTCAAAAAACCAAATTCAAGAAAGTATTGCCCCGTTAAAAACCATACGTCTCAAAAACACCATGTAAAGTTTTATATCTCTCACCACTTTAAGGACTTACCAATTATCATTAAGTGAATAGAACTAAAAATGTAAAAATTTCAAATCGAGAAACCTTTCTAACCTATGGATTAAAGATGTAAGTACTGTATAGAAATTAACCTTTTGGCATTTAAAAATTTAATGAAATCAACAACCTGGAGTGCCAACACTTTACAAATTCATATAAAAACAATATACTTATAGACATAATGATTACCGCTTACCTCCAGGCATGAATAAACGTATCAATTCGAATTTACTTGGCCCAGGCACTTCTGAGTACGGCCGTGCGTTCTCCAAGTCCACATCGTTTGTATTGTTTTGCTAAAAATAAAATATAGGGCAATAAGTAATTTAAGAAATACAAATTAAAGTGAAAATATTATGCATTTAATCACACCTACCTTATACTCTACTTCTGCTGCAAAAGTTCGTACCCTTGAAATGCCCAAATGACGCCAACCGATGTGATCAATTTGCTTTAAATGCCTCGATAACATGTTTGCCGTTGATTACTGCTTCTATTCAATAATTTAGTATGTCAAATGCAATGAAAATGCGAAAGTTGCAGATTTAGAAGAATAACAGAATTGAAGGCGATCACCAATATGTACGTGTTCGCTGTTCCACAAACTTTGGCACAATGAATAAGCTGTTGGTTGTCGTTCATGATCAGTCGGTACACTCATAGAATTCTGTGTCAAATATTTAATAAACTTTGGCAATGTGTGTCTAGCAATATCTGCACAGTTTTTATTATTTTTGTTAGCCTACGTGAATATATATCAGCATATGCAAAATAGATAAGTGAAGCATTGAGTTGCGAAACGAGCTTTTGCCATTAATATATGTAGATTTACATACTTATACTGTTATTATTTATTGTTGATATTTTGTCGCTTTTTGTTTTTATCTGCTCATTTGTTTGTAAACAAATCACTTATAATTCGTATATATAGACAGAAAGAAATAATTACGAAGAGCGAGCTTATGCGAAAGATCGGCGAATGGAGAGCTTTTTTGCTCTGAACTTGCCCGTTGTTGTTAGGTTCTCTTTCAGGTGGCACACTAATGCATTAAACTGGTTAGTTGTTCATAAACTAGAAAAGAATGGATGTTGTGAAAATTAATGAAGAATGTGTTTTAATAAAACTTTAAAATTTACAAAAAATAAATTTCACCTTTAGGTTAGAATTGATCTAATTGATCATATCCAAAAAATTTCTTATTGTAATATTATACAACGTCCAATGGCGCTCCTATCGTGAGTGAAATTTACTATCATATGTGAAAGTTTTAGAAAAACAACAGAACAACAACAAGTAAAAAAGGGTTAGGTTCGGCTGTCAATAGTAGTATTGACCCAATTCCATCCATTTTCGGCACCACAAATTACTCTTACCAAAAAATATGCTCACTGAGTTTCATTGTATTCCTCAAAGATTGAGAGATATTCCTATAATATTAATATATGGTATAAAGTTTGCAGAAAGTTTGAAAATTTTTATATTTGGTATGTGGGAGAAATATTCACCCGATTACAAACACATTCGGCACAAAAACAGTCAATGGAAATACCCTCGCTGAATTTCACTAAGATAACTCACATATTGACTGATATATACGGTATAAAGTCAAGTGGAAGTTTACCCGATTTTATCTATTTTTGACACAAGGGCATATTATTATCAGGAAAAAATGCTTTTTGAATTTCAATAATATATCTCACGGACTGACAGATATTTTGTATATGTTAATATCAAACAATGACATTGATGCTCACATAATCGGTATCAGGGGGTCTTAAAAATTTATGGTCCGTCTTTGTATAGTTTTGTTCCAACGGATTCGCTGGTTCTTGGTTAATAGGTAGACTGTAAGGTGATATGAATATTATAAGAAGAATTTGGTTGATGTTGGTCGAGTACTTAGTTCTTGAGATACTGTGCTATGATTTCACCCATTTTCACACTATTTAAGAAGTTGATGGAGGGACTTGTTCGCATCACATTTGGTATATGGCATTAGTGGTTTACAAAGCACAATTTTAAAATCTTTTCATTACACAGATGTCTATCTCTTATGCTTAAAACATGAAATCGTGGCGCACGACTCCATTCAAAACAAAGATAGTGTTGTGATACAAAACATTGAATGATGAAATTCCATGAATATTTATTCGAATTGCCTCCATATCCGCCGTATTCTGCAGATCTGTCTCTGAGTATCTTTTATTTGTAAAATTCCAAAATTATTGAAGATTTATGCAAATTTTATTGATATACATACATGTGCTACTAGTTGGGAACTCATATCCATCTGGTGCTTAGATTTTCTTTTACTTACGAACTACGAACATATTCTACTCATAGAAACATGTAATTTTAACATGAGTTTATTAATTACTTTACTTAACTATTATTTATTCGTAAAAATTAATCATCGGATTTTCACCCCTTCTGTTCTTCGAATCTACAGTTCAGTGGTATAGCTGGTAAGAAAACGAGCTTCTGTGTAAAATCAATTTCGCACCAAACGTAGTTTCTTTGAAATAGTTCTAAAATACAATACACCTATAAGGACCTTTAATTGCAAGAAAAAAAAAATCATTATCTACTTTCGTCTGCCCCACTGCGGTTTAATAACTTGTAAAAACCGTTAATCTCAACGAGCGCCTAACTACCATATTGCTTCATATTTATTTAGAAACTAGCTGACACGGCGAACTTCGTACCGCCATAGCTTAGCTTTGATGCACTACTTTATTTTGTATAGCTGACAGTTGTCCTATCTTAGGTATTAGTACCTATTTAATTTAAAAATTAATGCCTATTTCCCTGGTCTTGCCATAACTGAGAAGGACTTTACTAATTTCATAATTAATTAATATTGTGTAGTTATCAAAATGTGCCAAAAATCGAGATTAAGCTGTGAACTTATCGTAATTAACAAACACTTATTAGCAAACAACAAACTTCTTAGTCTTTCAGTTAGTGCGATAGAATTTAATTAAGTAACCATATTTCCGAACAAACGATGCTCTTTCAATATAGTCTATGGCTGTGAATGACGATGACATACGTTACGCGCGTTTTTTAAAATATGCAAAATTAAATGTACTTTTTCAATCTTTCTGAGACATTTTCTTAATATTTTTTTCTGTAAGAACCTTCTACAGAGTATTAGAAAACTACGAAAAAAAAACAGCCAAAACGGTCTAGCCGTTCTCAAGTTATGGCGTGACAACGGGAAACAGGTTTCATTTTTATATATATAGTTATATTTTGATAGCGAATGCAAAAACTTTTTAAAGAGAAGTACTACTGATCACTACCGCTTACCCCTGCGGGCAGGGGATAGAATATGCCCGCGGCAAGGCATGCCTGTCGTAAAAGGCGACTAAAAGCCAATATGCACTATGACTGTTATTATATACTTTGCACAGTAATATCAGCATAGTATGTGGAGGAATAGTGCTATAATACTCAGCTTGAACTGATATTAGAAACACTTTAAATGAAAAAAGCGAATAAAAAGACATTTGAAGTTCAAGCGACAAATGTCACCAGTCATTTGAGTAATGGGGAGCTCAACTGGCAGTAGTTTAGGCTACGCAGTCTGACCGGAGACTTTCCGGTACCACGGGGAGCAGAAAGCCCTTGGACTTCTGTTCAATCTGCTCATTGGGTTCGGCCCTTTGGGGAGTATCGTGGTGGCTGTGGTTTAAACCTAAATGCTGGAAGAACTGAATTTTCAGTTCGAAAAAAGAAGTTGCACAAGTAACTGGGTGCCGTACCCGAAAACGGAAGAGGTTTTAGGTCGGCCTCGAATCACACCAAGACACACTGCCACTGGTATCCAAGTAATCGGACCACTGCCACGCCCACAAAACACCATTAATCGAAAACCCTTAAAATGCCATAACTAAGCACTAAATTAAGATAAATACTTGTTATTTAGTGCAAGGAATTGCAGTACATATTTCCTTAATCCTATAAGAACCCTTATCGACTGTGTGAAAAAGGATGAAATCGGGTTATAGCCCGCCCTCTGCCCAAATAACGGTTTTGTTAAAAACTACTGAAAGTGCAATTAATCAATAACAAGAAGCAGCTGAGACATTAATATTTACACCCAGGATGATACAAGAGAGCTTCATAAGAGCCGGTGTCAAAATCGGACGATGGTTCCGCTCATAATTAGGTGAAAACTTATATTTTAGGATCTACTGGACCAATTTCCACCAATTTGGGTTTACCATCAGGACTATGTCACATTGTGAAAATAGGCGGAATCAGACTACAACCACGCCTAGTTTCCATATAGCTCAGTTTTAAATTCCATATGAATCTTTCACTTTCCAGTACAAATGAAGCACCAGTGAATATATTCGGATAAAATTTTGCACAAATAGTGTCTTGAGGTATTTCTGCACGTTGCAAGAGTATAAAGTGTTCCGTTATACCCGAACTTAGCATTTCCTTACCTTCAGATACCTCTTCTTTTTCTTATGTGTCTTATGCGTTTAATCACCTAAAGTTGTTGATTGCTAATTATTTTAAAATTATTTACATGTTCAAATATTGAAATTGTTTTGATGAAATTGTGTGTGTCGAATTTGCCAATCAGGTATCAACCTTTTAAAAACCGAAAAATGTATTTCGTATTTACAAATTTATTATTATAATAAAATATTAATTTCTTTAAAAATAATTTTTATTCAAGTGGCAACCTTCGTCGAAAACATTTCCAGTAGGCTTGTATTAAATTTAAACCTTCCTTAGATTCATGCCAATATGGCAATATTTAATTTATCACGAACATTCTAATGAATTAAATTTTATAAACAGGTGGCAACTCCACTAAACATATTTTGAGCTGTAAACTTTCTCAAACCTCTTTGGTTTAATATTGAACGATTAATTCTTATAGTCGCATTATTTTAATTGAAACGTCATGGCCAAACACCGAGGGAGAAAGGAATCTACCATGTAACATAGGAAATATTATAACAAAAATTGTTAATATTGGTAAAAAAAAAATATATATACTTACTAAACATTAGCGAAAGTCCAAAATTCAAATCCAAATTTATATAGTATTTTTTACTTACTAATAGTGGTGTCAGGTAGATGAGTTTGATGTGTTTTTTTTTTTGATAACTATGTTAAAAATGTATAATATGTTAAAGTGTTTTTACTATTATTAATTTTGTTCAAGTACAAAATTTTATTAAATCGGCCCGACTTTCTCAGGTGTTGCCTATACCGAATATATTGATTTACGACTCACCGGTAACAACATTAAATTTAAGTTTTCAAAAACTATTTGTAATCGATTCATATATATTTCTACAAGTAGATCATTAATTCTCAATATATATTTAATTTTTTCACCCTCAACAGGGTACATTAAGTTTGTCACGATGTTTGTAAAAAAGAATCGTCGGAGACTCTATAAAATATAAACATACAATAATGATCAGCATGATGAGCTGAGTCGATTTAGCCATGTCCCCCTGTATGTATATACGCGAACTAGTCTCTCAGTTTTTGAGATATCGATCTGAAAATTTGCACACGTCGTTTTCTCTATAAGCAGCTGCTCAGTTGTCTGGAATCACCGATATTTGCCCACTATAGCATATAGTTGCCATACAAACTGAATCAGAAACAAGGGCTTGTATGGAAATCTTTTTAATTTGACAAGCTATCTCCATGAAATTTGGCATGTATTATTACCCAAAGCAACGGTGCACTCTTCAAAGGAATTGTGTTATCGAATCAGGATAGTATATAGCTGCCATATAAACTGAACGATTAAAATCAAGCTCTTGTGTGGAGACTTCGTTATTTGTGAAGGGTATTCCATCTTCAGTACAACCAAAGTTATCGGTTTTTCTTGTTTTTTTCTGCTTTAAGTTATACTTACATATCATTCAGAACACAATATATGTATATCAGTAAATTTGTTTAAAATATTTGGTTATCTTGTTGTCATACGGGTCCTGAAGTCCTCATATACCTAAATTTAAAATTTCCGTCCGTCTGAGTGTCTTTATCTCATCTATATCGGTCAATACAAAAGCTATTTCAAATGCGTTGAAAATATATCACTTAATATATTGTGATATGACAGCAAAATAGATAATAATTTACTGATAAGTCGAAATCTCTTTACTAAGAACTTGATGTTTGAGGTTTCCTTTTTTGTCGCCTTCTTTAAAGAAGCAGACAAATTCTTCAATAAGTAGTTTAGAGGTTTAGTTCTTGGCCACCATTCCCTATATTCAATTCTAAAGAAACTACACTTTACCTTGGACAATAAAGTTTTCATTATTTTCCTTTTTGCTTGTATATTTGTAATCTATTTTATGAACCCATAACTGTACAAGTACTTACGTTAATTTTATTTACATACTGAGAAATCTTATCGGCCAATCATTTCTAATTTTCTTTTTTAACACTTATAAACAATTTATACTTTTATAAACATGTGAGTATATAATTAATTTATCAGTTAATACCCGTTTTTTCACTCCTTTCTTTCTTCGAATCTGAATTTAAGTGGTATAGCTGGTATGAATACCATTTTCGGTACAAAAGCATTGTCCGTTGAATAATTGAATTCTATCATGAAATTGCGCACCAAACGCGCCAAGGTGACCTCCAATTCTAGGTCCACAATTCGTTTACCCACGCAACTGCGCGGACCAAAGCCGAAGGGAAGAAATAGAAATGGGTTGTTAAGTTGATATTTTTTACCCTCGATGTCATTCCGCAGCCAACGCTCTGGTATATATTTATTTGGCTCTTCCACAAATTTCTCATTGCGTAACAGCAAATTGGAGCTAACCGATATATCAATACCGGCAGGAATACGATATCCGCTCAGCACAACGTCGTTTGGCAGCCGACGCATAGTGCCAGCAATAATGGGATGATAGCGCATGCCTTCCTTAATACAAGCGCGTAGATATGGAAGATTTTGCATATTCTCTACAGTCAAATGGGAGTCCTTATTTGGCAAAATGCTTTTTAGTTCCTTAAATAGTTTCTGTTGTTTGTCGGGATTTTTAGCAATGCAAAATAAAATGCCCGTTAAGGTGGAGCTTGTCTGCGATAAAGTGAAAAGAATATTTGAAATATTTTCTTAACCACCTGATTGAGTTGTGGTGAACTTACTGTATCGACGCCAGCCATCATCATATCCAAAGCCATAACCACAGCGATTTTGCGATCAATTTTCAATAGTTTCTCTAAAACGCTCTTTTCCTTATTTTCCTCGGAGGTGAATTTCCCCTCACTATCCAAATCAATTCGTTTTAGCGCCTCATCAATATACTTATTGCACAACACTGTAAGCTTATCTAATGTTTTCATTAGTTGATAAAACTTCGGTGTTTTGATTATCTTCCAAATGGATGGCTTGATTTCTACCTCTTCGGATAGATCGAAAAAATTGCGGATTTCTTTCAAAAATATTTTACTTTCCGGATTATCACGATTTTTATGTATCATTCCTAAGCGGGTATTCAGTGCGATACTTACTACGCCCTCTAAAGTGAGGCGATTAATATCGTCATGAAAGTCATCGGGAACTTCGAGCGTTAAAGGATCGCGTATGTGACGTATTCTAACACAAATTTAGTGTGAGATGAAACTTTAAAAAAAAAAAATATATATAAAAAATGTTATATTAACCTTTCGAGAAATTCATCATTGACTTCCAATAACGTGTTTAAGTAGAGTTTGGCGTTTTTAGGTTGCATTAGAACTGGATTAACGGCGGTACGTATTTTTGCCCATTCCTCGCCAGTTCTAGAAATATATTTATACAAAAGTAGTAATCTCTTTAATCTGGATTTGAAGAGTATTTACGTTGTCAATAGTCCACTCACGCCTCGAAAAAACTCTTCCCTATGCACCTTACGATGATAAATGAAGGTTTCGAAAGTACGCCGTTCTGGCCAAATTCCCTCATTGCGAAATATTATTGGATAATCATTTGGATTAAGATCCAAAACCATTTCTGGTCTGCCAAACATGGCAGGAATTCGATAGACATCGCCATATTTTTGTGCCATATTAGTCATTCCTTCAATAAATGTTTGCTTATAAAACGGTCCTGAAAATATGACAAATGTTTGTATTAGTTTAGAAAAATTCGAAAATTTTATTTTTCAGTTAATATATACGTTAATACAAGTATAATCCACTTTATTACCTCCTGGTAAAAATCCACGAATCATTTCATACTTGCTTGGACCTGGCATTTCTGAATATGGACGCGCGTTTTCCCAATCGTTCGGAGCTGACGCTGTTTCATTTACCTACAAAGTCAAAATATATAAATAGATAATAAACAAACTTGTTTACTATAACTGTATGAACTAGCATTATACACATATATACAACAATGAAATAATGAATGTTTACCTGCGTTTGTTCCACAGCTGTTGCATACCCCCTTAAAACCGTAGACTTTAACGAATACCCTACTAGTGCATCGAATTTGATTAGATGACGTGATAACATTTTAATTGTTTTGTTGTTATTAATTAATCAAATAATAATAAAAAGCAGTTTAATATGCAAACAAATTTTAAAAATATTTCCGAACTCGTTTGCCCAGACAGTTATTGGTACTGATCGCTACTGCACTTGTGAGCTTACTGACTCTACAATTCGCTTTTCAATAGTGCGAATATTCTAATCAGCAAGAGCATTATGCATTATGAAAGTTTAGATGGGAGCTTTTTCGTATTAGTAAATCGATTAAAATAGAATTCGATAAATTTCTCCTTTTCATACCCTAAACCACACGATTTGGGAAATTTTTTTTTTATTATTGACCTAGTGGCGCCGCTTGTGGAGAATAGCTATATCTATAAAAGTTACGTGACACGTTGATTGTCCGGGGTGAACTCCTAAACTACTAAGCCGATTTTCGTAAAATTTAGCACACAGTATGATCCAACTTAAAATATAGAATACCGTGTATCTCTATTCTGTTAAAAGTCAAACCAATTCATAAATAAACAGGTAAGGAGGGGCTAAGTTCGAATTTAACCGAACATTTTATACTCTCGCAAAGTCAAAATGTATACTCGTTTGAGATTTTGTTCATATATTTTGCTTGATTTGCATAGTGAACAGTAAAAGAGTCAGATGGAATTTAAAATGGTGTTATATGAGAAATAGGCGTGGTTGTAATCCGATTTCGACCATTTTCGCACTATAACATAGAAATATGAGAAGAATGTTATGTACCGATTGGTTGAAATCGGTTAAGCAGATCGAAATCCGTTTATCTATTTAACTTTTTATTTAGACTCAAATCAATTCATTCCTCTCTGTGGTGAGGATCCATGTACTCTGAGATTTAAGAAATCAATCGGACGTTTCACTGTTTTCCAATTAAAATACATTTTATACTACTTATAGCATAAAGTTGTTCATTTTTATTATATTTTGTATTTTTTTCAGGGTATACAAAGGTATAACACTGGAATATTAAAAATTAGTACATATATGTATTGTCACAATTTACTTTAATATATTCGGGACCTTTTTGTTAGGTGTCTAAATTTTGAAAGCCTATTTTTACAGATTTTACATTTGTATATGTATTATTATATAATATTTTGATGAATACAAAAATATATTTATACTATATATAACTGTTTTAATTATTTTGTAGGAAATATATTTTTTATGAGTATTTGAAAAATAATTTTATTATGTTCAGGGCTTAATATGTTATTAAAACTTATGTATTGACTATACCTATTTCTCTCTCATTCTCATATCCAACACTATGCTTCTCTCTCGATGAATTTGAACTTGAGCGGTATTTGCGGTACGCTCATAAACTTCATAGCGAACGCATTCTCGGCCGGATAGTTAAATTCAATTTGGAAATTTCGCACCAAATACGTCAAAGTGATTTCCAGCTCCAAATTGACAATACGCTTACCCATACAACTACGTGGACCAAAGCCAAAGGGTACATACAAAAATGGATTAGTAATTTGCCCCTCCAAAGCTTGTGCGGATTTATCGTTACGCAGCCAACGCTCCGGTATGAATTTATCCGGCTGCGGCATATAGCGTTCATCATGCATTACCATATTGGCGCCGATGCAGATGTCGGTACCGGCAGGTATGCGATAACCGCTCAGCACTATATCGTTGGGCAATCGACGCATCGTACCCGGGAAGATGGGATAGCAGCGTATGCCCTCTTTGATGCAGGCGCGCAGGTAAGGCAAATTTTGCATATTTTCAGTTGTAAGTTCCGATTCCTTTTTCGGCAATATTGTCTGAATTTCTTCAAATAGCTTTTGTTGCTTATCAGGATTCTTGGCAATGCATAACAATATTCCGGCCAAAGTGGAGCTGGTCTATAGGTGCAGTGAGAAATATTAAATTTATTCGAAAACTCTTCATATTTAAATGCGCTCACTTACTGTATCAATACCAGCTATCATCATATCTAGCGCCATTACCACGGCGAATTTCTTATCAACGCGCACTAATTTCTCCAGTACACTCTTCTCCTTGCCCAGCTCCGATGTGAGGTTGCCATCGCTGTCGTGTTCAATACGCATTAGCGCTTCGTTAATGTACTTATTGCAGATGTCCGTCATGGAGTCCAGGGTCTTCATCATTTTATAGAATTTCGGTGTTTTTACATACTTCCATATGGAAGGTTTAACCTCTAACTCTTCGAAGAGTAAAAAGAAATTGCGTACGCTCTTCATGATCTCTTTTCCCTCGACCGTATCACGATTTTTTTGTATTAAACCGAGACGTGTATTCAGCGCAATGCCTGCGATACCCTCAAAAGAAAGCCGATTGATCTCGTCAACGAATTCATCGGGTACTTCCAATGTACTGGGATCGCGTATGTGCCGTATTCTAGCGGCAAAGCGCAAGTAAATAAGATTTAGATTTTTGGGAATTAGCATATTATATATATATCATACATTTATTCGATTTACCTTTCTAAGAACTCGCTATTAATATCCAATAGCGTATTCAAGTACAGTTTGGCATTTTTCGGTTGCATCAATATTGGATTCACAGCCGTACGCATTTTCGCCCATTTCTCGCCAGAGCTAGTGTAAAATATTGAAAATAATATATGCAAACTTAATACATCAATATGTACAAGTAATTGATGCTCACGTGGATATAATACCGTCGACGCCCTGAAAGAATTCCGGCCGATGTTTTTCACGATGATAGACGAACGTATCGAAAACGCGTCGATTAGGCAATGCTCCTTCATTACGAAAAATAATCGAATAATCCGTGGGGTTTAAATCGATTATAATTTCGGGTTTGTCAAATATGCCGGGAAAGCGAAAAAGCCCTCCATATGTCTTTCCCATTTCACGAAAGGCATCAAAAAATGGTTTTTTGGAAAATAAACCTGAAATAAAATGATTAAGTATCGTATCAGGAGTAATCTAAGTCGCTTCGATATTTTTTCATTTTATTGATTGTATTAATCATTCTAAGGTCAACTACCATTAACTAACAGGGTTTAAAACTGCGTTGTATGGAAAGTAGGCGTGGTTGTAGTCTGATTTTGGAAATCTCCACACATACTAAGAGTGTTGATTTGTAAAGTTATATAAGGATGCAAAGGGTGTGCTTTTTGCAATACATATAAAATTACAACTTATCTGAAAGAGAGACTTCATAAATTTAATACGTATAATCGTTTAGTGAACAAAACTAAAATAGGGAAAAAATCAAGAAACCCAGCTAGCTTATCATCGTTATGCAAAATGCGCGAACATGATAATACGAATACATTGTCCGAAATTACAAAATAAACCGTATGGACGCTAGAATTTCAAATTTGAATGAAATCAATAATATTTAGTGCCAATTAATATTAGACAAATAAACAAGTGAAAATATAAAATATTATACATTTACAAAGTAAATATTAAATAATAATTATAGCTTACCGCCAGGCATGAATAAACGTATTAGCTCGAGTTTACTTGGCCCAGGCACTTCTGAGTACGGCCGAGCGTTCTCTAAGTCCGCATCACTTGCACTGTTTTGCTAGAAACGAATTTGTAATACAATGTGTAATTTAATAAAATAAGAAATTAAGCGAAAATATACATTTAATCACACCTACCCTAGACTCTGCTTGCACTGCAAAAGTTCGCACCCTTGAAACGCGCAAATTACGCCAACCGATGTGATCAATTTGCTTTAAATGCCTCGATAACATGATCGCCGTTAAATATTTATTAATTTACTTTGTCAATGTAACAAAAGTGCGAAAATTAGAAGTTTAGAAAGCAATCGAATAGAACGTGTTCACCGCTCCACAAACTTTGTCGCAATGAATGAACTGTTGACAATTGCTCACGAACAGTCTGTGCACACATAGAATTCCAAAAATGATAGATACATTGTATTCTTTCTACAAACAATGATAGAGATAGGGATTACGCCAAGTTTCTACCGGTACCTTTGTCGGGTTAGGCTGTGACAGATGTGATCAAGATTGATAGAAACAAGATTGCTCATTTAAATACCGGTGCGTAACGAATCTTAGAATGAGATGATGTAGCATAGAAAAGCTGTCAAATATAAGAAAGAAGCCATTTTTCCAGCAATTCTTCTGTGGCCAATGTGGAAGTCGATGGCACAGCTGACCTCGAAATCTTGCAACCGTCTTTGACCAGCTATATTTATTTACATATGTATGTATGTATGTTACAAATATGTATACGATATGATTTCATAATCGTTGAAAATAATTTCATATAAATACACCACTGGTCATAGCTTAGACGCATACGTTTTTTCGTCAATAAACTGTTATATTTACTACCAGGCATAATCTATTTCTTCTCAAAAGCGAAGCTTGTAGGAAAAATCCGCCCATACTTGGTTGGCTTGCAAAAACATAACTGTGCATTCGGAGACTCTAGAAACTTCGATATAATCTCGTGCGCTTTCGATTGGCCATTGAACGCACATAATTATTTGTTTGGTGTAATAAAAAACATTTATCCATAAAGATGAGTTAAAGATCCCTAAAAAAAAAATATATATATATAAATGATCAGCGTGACGAGCTGAGTCGGTTTAGCCATCCTCGTCTGTCCATCTGTTTGTATATACGCCAACTTTCAGTTTTTGAGACATCGGTCTGAAATTTGGCTCATGTCCTTTTCTCTCCAAGAAGCTGCAACTTTGTTGGAACTGGCGGACCACTACAGGATATAGCTGTCACACAAACTGAACGATCGGAATCAAGTTCTTGTATGGAAAAGTCCACGATCTCGTATTGAAACAAAGTCGGTTTCAAATCGGTCGGTTTATAAATGTACAAGCTTTAAATGCGAAAATATTACCAGAATTCAAATTGAAATTGGTTGTAAGTTATGTATATTTTATTTATTTTTCATTTAACATAGCTAAAATAATACGATTTCCCATTAATTGTTAAACGCACTGTAGCGACGGTATGTATACACTGATAGCCTGATCAACGACGTCTAAACGATATGTTGTGTACATGTGAAAGCAGAGAAGCTAGCTTCGCGAGCTCAAGGCTGATTTTTTTTGCATTCAGTTTTTCAATAAGAGAGTTTTTCGTCGTTTAATCACCTAAGTAATTCCATTATCTTGTTTTGATAGAATTTTCGGCTAGACGACTCCACCACCACTAAGCAGTTAAGCTTTGCCCGGAGAATGAGCTACACATGCATTAATGTAGGGAATGAAACTATCTTTCTAATAACACGCACCACAACTGTTGCCTGTTATATTTCAGGCTTTGAGAACAAAAATAAATATTAACCATCGAAAATCGCTTTATTGTTTTCAAAATATTCCCCATTAAGATGTATACACTTTTTCATGCGTTTGAACCAATTGTCGAAGCACTTTTGAAACTCTGATGCGCTGGGAACGCATCAACGTTTCTAAAGGTGTCGCTGATCTTTTGGTTTAATTTTTACGGTCGTTAATTAAATGGCGTCTTTCGGTGCCAAGCCAGAACTATACGGCGGATGACTCATCAAATCAATGTTTTGAGTGTCCAAAAATGCAGTTGTTTCAGTAGATGTGTGAAGGCTCGCATTGTCGTGATGAAGCGTTATCTATCTTCGGTGGTTGGTGTTCCTGATTTCTTGAAACATAATTGTCGAAAAAATAGTTGTGTACCACTCAGAATTTACTGTTATGCGTTGTTCTAGTGATACGGTTGCGACATGTCCAGTTTTTACAAAAAAAGGAAACTATTTGCTTGGAAGTGCTTCGTGCGCAAACAACTTTTGTTGGATTCGGCTCATCTTGTCACACTCATATAGTCGATTGCTGTTTACTTTCTTGCTCATACGCATAAATCCACAATTCATCACCTGTTACGATGCTATAGATGTGTTTCAGAGAACCGCTATTGTAGTTTTTTAAATTTCTCTCGACCAATCGACACGAGCCTTTTTTAAGTGATTTATAAATTGTGTGGGATTCAACGTGAACAAATTTTTTATACAATCAAATGTTCATGCAATATTGAATGTGTTCTAGTCCCACTAATGTCTATAGTTGTCTCAATCTCACGATAGGTCACATGACGATCTTGAAATATCAGTTTCCGCACACGATCATTACTTTTCAGAACATGACCTCGATTGAATTCTCCATACTATCGAGATGAATATTTTAAGTTACTGTACATAACACAAATAGCGCTCGTATGTCAAAAACATTCTGAGTATGGAGAACATCAAAAATGTCAAAATTGACCATAAAGTTGTGAGTTACCAGATTGCAAGAGTTGCAAGGGTTGTCAAATCCTTAAATATAAAATACAATCTACGTATTGGAATAGCAACATTCTCTAATTTGCTGACCACATCTATTAAAGCCGTTAAAGCCGAACGACATGCCGAAATGTTCATAAAGAATTTCTCATCAAGTATTAATACATATGCGTTTTAATCCACGATAACACGTGTATGAGTATATATGTATGCGTGTAGCAAATAACAGCAGTGTAAAGGATTCCACTCGAAATACCAAAAGCGAGTGCTTTGATTGAGGTAAAAATTACACTTAACATGCGATTTAGTGTCAACAGACGAATAACAAAATTTGTGTGCAGTCAAAATAAACACAAGGATGTGCTTTTACACACACACACACACACAATCACACACATATGCTAAATACATATATACACACATATATGCACTGGGATAAAGTTACACATATCCACCCAGTCGAAAATCGCACGTTGATGAATGTCGTAGAGGGTGGCCGCTGAAGTGGCACTCCAACAGCATTGTGTACGCAGCGTGTTTGCACACAACTCTTGAGTTGTTCGTAAGTTCGTGAATTGCTGCCACACGTGAGTGCATAAGAAAATTGTTTGTTATTTTTGTGCTTAGATTTTTTTGCTTGTTTAGCTGTGTGTTTGTTGTGGATAATGTTTTTGTTCGCATTACTTTTAGCTAGTAACTGGAATATTGGGGCATTTAGTATGCGTCTGCTCGGTGATTTTCTCTCGTACGTGTCCTTGTTGCAGGGATAATTTTCATTTCAAGTGTCACTCAAGTAATTTTCTTGCTGCTGTTATTGTCAATTTTGTTTGGCTTTTTCCGCTTGCTTATTTGTGCGCATCTCACTTGACTGGCTGCCGGTATTTTCTATTATTATTTTATTTTCAATGATGCACAGCGTATTGTAGTGTCAGTCAGTTGGTTTTCAAGTGCGAAACCGGAAAGTGTCATTGACAGACGTACAACATATACCATCTTTGCGGTGGAAAGAGGTTAACAATAAGCAAAGCTGCAACCATAAAAGATAAACAATGTGCGGCATGCCGAAGTTGGCTGTGAAACTGCACACAAACATAAATGTTTAGTAAAGAAAAATAAAAGAAAATTGCACACATAAAAGTTTAACTATTAAGTTAATAAATTTTTAACATACTTTCGACTGTTGCCAAGAAATGACCATTGGGTGCATTTTATTCTCACTTATTGTAGTTATTATAGCTCCAAGAAATCGTAAAAACTTATGGTGCAGTCATAACAAAATCCTTTGCTAAAAGCAAACTGAGTGCACGCTAAGTTGCTAAGTTGAATGTTAGGTTAAATTGAAGTGGTTTTCTCCTAAGCACATATTTAGATAAAATCGATTAACTTTGTTTTAAGGATTTCTAATAATCGCCTACGAAGTTTTCATTTAGCAACTGAAATCTTTCTCTACTTCAATTTTCTTTGAGTTGCCACCTAAAGACCTCGGAACTCATTTACAGCCTTTAATGTACTTTAATAATCAGTGATACATTTTGAAAAATTTTTAATTCTCTTGAACCCGTAGCTAATATTTAGGTGGACTAGACAAAATTTACACATCTGCTCCAGCCGTTTCGAAGAAATTTTCCTAATAAATCCTCAAATTTCCGAAACTATTTGCTGGATCAATTTTACATGTTCGAAAAATATTTTTAAATTTTTCGTTATTGGAATATAAGCAAAACAAAAATTCGATTTCGAAAATTTATAAGTGGATACCCCTAAAATAATAATTTTCACAAACTCATAGTCTAATCTAATTAATGTTTGGTATATCGTGATTGCACAATAATCTCTAGAAATTATTTGAAAATCGAATCAAATCTAAGCTTTAATTCTACTATACTTTTCATAAGCGCATTTGACTTAAAGAACAACTAAATATTTTAGAAGAATACTAAACTGTGTATGTTACTTAACGAATAAGTAATAATACTCGGGTCGGAGATCATAGATCATAGGGATTCCTTTTGGACCGTCGGGTGTGGATCAAATGATACTCACGGATCATCGAACAGCCTATCATAAGTCTTTTGAGGCAGTTAGTAATCATTTAACTTTATTCCATCGAAAGCTAGACGGTCGAGGAGAAAGAGTTCAGATATTTTTACCTCGCCCTCCGTCAGGCTATTTTGAGAATTGACGTCTATCAACTTCTTTAACCTTACTGAGCTTAGGTAAAGCCCATACCTTATATGGAGTATTAGTCCACAAGAGGAGCTGGGAGCATCGATTCTTTCCCAGTTTGATAATATTAAAGCTGGTCTCCCATACAAGTCTTATTACGAAGCAGTAAAATGCTATTGATCCCAAACACTTCTTGACTAGCCTCGGGCACATATCCAGCCTTCTATCGGAGTGAATGTAAACTATTTTCGGAGTCGGTCTTTTTCACATTTGATTTATACTCAGTTTGGTTTGCCATTTTACAACAAACAGACCTACTCTGAAGCAACGTGCAAATTTATTACAAAAATAATGGTCCGGTTCACGCGACGCATCGCGCGCTGCTTTAATAATCAGCACTCAGCAGAATCGGTAATTCGAGCAACCATGGATCGGTTTCGCACGACGTTTATCTAGGTC